GGACCTAGCTCCTTCTATTCTGGGGAGCGTCAGTCCGGTTCCTATTCCACCGGCAAGTCACAGCATAATACATTACAAAGTAAGAACACACGCTTCCTCCCGGCCGGCCGGAGGACCCCTGAACAGCATTGATTACTCCGCCCTTGGTGGAGGATTGACTGTCAGCTTGCCTTGAGTCTCTCTTCCCTCTCAGATCTTCCTTAATAGATCTGCCTGAAATTTGTGTTCAACCTAGGAAGAAATCCTCCCTTGCTGCCATGTGATCTACCTTCCTCTTTTTACCAAATCTTCACTAACGCTGTGTTCCCCCCTGTTCCCTAAAACCCCTTTCTCTGTCTTTTAAGTGTTGTAAAACCCTAAACCCTAAACCCTACTTCCTCCCTTGACACCTTAATTGGTGTCCCTTGTCCCTTATTCTCCCCCTTCAATACTTGACCTCCTTGGCTGTACGTCCCTTCCCTGCTGCTCCCTCTCTTTTGCCCCCGCCCCGTTTGTATCTCAGTCCTGTCCTTGCGAAGTTAGATTTATTTTAAGTTAGTCTGAGGTTCACTCCCTTTGCGATTTCTTCTGCAGATTTCTCCTCCCTCCCGCAGTTTATGGTAGTCCAAGCTCCCGTTCTCCATTCTCGTCCTGATATGGCGGGTCCTGGAGATCGTCCTTAAACCAATGGAAGCGCAAGGCTTTCCCTTCCAATGAGGCCACCTTGCCCCCTGCTAGAATGTTTGTCTGAAACTTGTTAATTATTTCCTTAGCCTTATCTGGATTTAATTCTTCCTGTCTCTCTGCTTGCTTCTTTGCTCTCTGCCATTGCGCCCTGATTTCTGTTTCCAGCAGGTTGTACATTATTCCTCTGACTTCTATTGTAGTCATATGATTCCCTCCTACCACCCTTTGGCATCTTCTTTTCCACACTGTCCACAGTGCGTAGAGCCTCAGTAGCCGGAAAATGTATTTTTGGCAGGAATTTCAGTCTGTGGGCGCTTCCATGTTGATTAGGAGTCTGTCTCTGATCGGAGGGAAGGGAACTTCCGTGACCCGGGACCATAGTGCGCGAGCTAACGCCCACACCTTCTCTGCCTCCGGGCATGAGATTAAGCAGTGGACCATCGTTTCCAGAGCCCCCCCCGTACACAGGGTACAGTTTCGTTCCTCCTCTGTACTAGCTTGCCTGCTTCTTCTTTCATACAACCAAGAGTTGACTGGGAGTGCCACGTGGAGGATGAGCCATTGTAGACTTCTGACCTTACCCAATCTCATACTCTGAAGGGACGACCAGGGCAACTTCCCCACTTGGTCTTTTGGTATCCCCTCCCTCTTTTCCCATCTTAAGGCTAGGGGAAGGTCCAGATGGGTCGATCTTCTCCTCAGCCTATAACCCAGTCTCGTTGTATAGCGGAGAATGTTAATCTTTGTTGTCACTCGTGTCTCTCCACCCCTAATATTCCATGCCCATTCCGCCAGGTCGTACTCCAAATCTTCTATGGCCACCATGGGTGCAAAGACTCTAAATTCGTTATCCTCTACCACCCTGATCTTCCTGAGCAGGCACTTCTTAATTGTGATTGCTATCTTGGATTCCTTATCCAGGTGACTCACTGTGATTCCCGGATTACGAATTACGAACATCTCTGCATTAAGCCACTGTTTATCGGGGCCCACTTCCTGCTGCACCCGGAATGCCTGCTCTGGAACTGCACTTATATGCCAGGTCGCCCAATCCCCCCATTCCCACTTGCACGGTCCTCTCAACAACTGCGTCCATTCTTGCGGAATGGAGATTAGAACATCGTTTAGATTCTCCGTAAGCTTATGACAACCTTTCATTGTGGCTCTCAGTTCCCTCCCTGTCTTCCATCTATTGTCATTCTGGGACCATAAGTGTTTGATCTGCCAGACCCTGTGTTCCAACCAATTCCCCCATATGGTGTCCCTAGCTGTTA